TGTAGGATCAAAATTATAAGGAAATGAAAAGGTATGGTGGAACCTGGACATAAAATGCAAATTTTGTTGATGGCAATAACAGCAATAGTAATAATAAATAAGCAGAGATAAATCATAACAGGTGTTCAAAATGTTCTCCGTTATTTTGTAGACAAAGCCTGACTCTTCTCGGTACATTGTTCACTGCTCGATTTATCTCTCTTCTTCTCAGTCTTCCAAGCTCTGTTCCACGTTCAGCTCGAGGTCTGGTCTGGTATATAAAACAAAGGAGATCCGATAATATCAAGGCCTATCAAGGAACTTCTGTTTTTATGGAATAACAGAGGTTTGGTAATGGCAATGTGTGACAAATGTATTATAAAATTTGAAATCAGAATCAAAAAATGAGTTTGCTAGAGAACAACATACGAAACGAAACGAAACCTTGTATGCGAAACAAATGACTATCTTATAATTTCAAGGCCTACCTGGGAACTTCTGCTTTTAAAAAACTAAAAAATTAAAATGGTTTTGATAAATTTCTGTTTTCTCCATCTCTCTCCCGAAGTACTTTGAATTTCGAAACCTTCTAAGTAGAATTACCTAAGTACGCAGCTTTGCCCCTATTTAGACGACTTCAAATCTCTTACAGTTTCCGACATCCAAATGGAGGCGGTCGAGTTTGAATCACCCTGTATATTTTGTTATACCAGGACGGCGCCTCACAGTCAACGTAAAAATCGAACTTTTAGACATATTTTTTGAAAGCAAAATAATTATAATTCTGAAGTCATGTGGCCATCCGAAGCTGCGACTTAGACCCGATGGACTATTTTCTTTGAAGAGCCGTTGAGCATAAGTGATATATTATTCTGAAACAACTGAGGCCCTGAAACACGAAATCGAAGGTGCTTTCCAAGAACTTGGAACCCAGACATTTGGAAAAGTACGTGAAAATCGACTTAGTCAGATCAGCTGCCGCTGTCGAGCCAGTCGTGGCGGTCATTTGCATGATAATCTGTTCATTTTCAAATGTCAAGATTCAACCTTTCTAATAGAACCAAGACTTAATAAAATTTTTCAATTGTTTAAATTACCCTCTCCTATGTTTTGTCCCAGGAAAGACTAGCACACCTATCGTTATCTTTCGATGGGGGAAAGCGGTTAACGACGAACAATTGCAAAATGATCAATATGCTTAGCTAAATGCTTTTGCTAATCAAAATGTTGAATACTATAATACTGTACTGCTCTTGTTTTTCTATTATTTTATACTTTTCTCATTTTATGTAAATTTTGATTTTTGCAAACTGCATTCGCACTAGGGTGCAACACCTACTAATCCTCGTCTCTGTAAGACGTAGTATTTCTAACGATGCTTTTTTAACGCTACCTACCTTCCACTGAAAACTATATGCGTTGTAATTATAAAATAAGAAGAGAACACCTCGTCGATTATCATTTCAACTCTTGTGTAGTGCTTGTCTGTAATTGGATATTGTATCTGTTGGTAAATAAAAGGATAAAGTAAAATAAAGTAAAATAAAGTAAAATAAAGTAAAATAAAGTAAAATAAAGTAAAATAAAAATATACTGCTTCACTACGTGGGATAGAAGAGATTCACCAAGTAAGAGGACCTAAAATCTATAAGATCAATATGTAGATGTCACCAGTTAAAACAAGCTAAAATGAGTCAGAAAGTAGTTATTATCAGTGACGTCACAGTTTTCTTCTGCCTTGAAGTTGATTGAATTCCCCGTTTCCTTCTGCAGTGTGCTAAATCAAATCACATCAGCCGAGACTAAGGTTCATCAGCTTTATTCGCCTTTTTACGATCTGCTTTATATGTCCAATCGTCTTTGTGTCTTTCAATCTCTATAGTAGGTCACTGCATTTTTGTTCCTAGTTTAAGTACTTTCTAGCTAAGTTTCTAATCAACTGTAGAAAATTCTACCTTCTAGTACCATTCCGTCTGTTTGCTTTTACATATTCCTTAAGTCCGCCTGATGGTCTCTAGACGATTATTACCTAGGATAGAACAGAATGCTACAGAAACTGAAACTAAAATTTACGAGGTCTTTAAGTTAAGTGATCAGACTTGCAACCTAGCGTTTGATCGGGCACTGGAGGCGCCGGTGGCAAAGGAGACGACGCTTTCAGTACAAGTTTGAACTCGCTCAAATCACTTAGTTGTCCGTAATGATCTTTTTTGCGAAACCATTTTTCCTATTGTGTTTAAAAAATTAGTGACATCAATATCGAGCAACGGTATGCTATCAGGCTTTGCTTCAGACTTGGGCACTGTGCAACGGAAACACTTGCTGAACTTCAGCAGGCCTACGGAGGTAGTGTTTTGTCAAGAACCCACATTTATCGCGGGTTTAAAGTAGTCGATTGAAGATGAACCAGAAAGCGGAACTGCTTCATCTTCAAGAACCGATGGAAATATCTACAGAATCCAAGATATTGTGAGTTGATCGTCAGTCGACAGCCAGAATGATCGGGAAAGAGTTAAATTTGACTTACAACACCGCTGATCAGATCAAGAACAAATGGATGTTTTTGACCAAGAAAAACATTCCTCTGGCTCCCCAGCCTAATGCCTAATTATTCGCCTGTCTTGAGTCCTTATCGCTTTTTTCTCTTCCCGAAGTTGAAAAATAACCTCAAGGGGTGGGACAGTCGAAAACATTGAAACGGCTGTAGCCGACCAGCTGAAGGCTATTCCAGTATCGGAGCTCCAGCGCTGGTATGGGCGGTGGAAGAACTGCCCAGCGCTATGAGGCTTCTGAAGGAAGTTATCTTGAAGGTGACAATATAAATTGTAATTATATTTGAATAGAAGTTTAACAAATCAGTGTCATCCTTAATTGACAGACATCGTATCACTTCCAGCTTTGGTTTTACATGCCACGAAAAGTGTGTCGTTTCCGTCCGTCTGTCTGTCTGTCGGTCTGTCGTTGAACCTTTATGAACTGATGGCGGCATTGCGTACGAAGTGTATGGACAATCTATTTGACATCATTTTTTTCTTTGCTTTGAGGCTCTCCGAGTCGTGATCCGGGACAGCTGATTGCAGCTGACTGAGAAAAATTTGAACAATATTCACCGAATATTGAACTTCGTCCGTACACCACCTGTTGCCTTTGTTAATACTTCTACCAGCTGCGCTACTGCGAAGATCGTCTGTGCAGTGGGGTCTCGCATTTCAGCCCCATGAAAAAGTCGAACACCGTTTCTTGTTAAACTGCGTCTCTGCTCTCTCACCATTTGCTCAATAACATCTGGGACTCACAGGATCTGTTACTCTAATGGAGTAAGGATGTTCTTGCCTGGTTTTTTTTCGCTGCTTGATTACTGCGAAACGGCAAAATGCAACTAGTGAGATCCAAAGAATTTGGACTACGTAGAGGGAGCAAGCAAGCGATTCGTTTCAATACTATAATGCCATAGTAGTGAGAATGCACGTGTTTACATTAACTCGATCTAGCTTAAGCCGCCAGTTTGACAGTTGTTGGCACTTCGTCTTAGAGTCGTATCGCATAATACCAACTTTGTAAATGAAAGTTAAATGAGTGACTTTGGTAGGCAACCATATATTCTTATATCGTTAGGACGGAGTACAACCACAGAGTTGCGCTGATGCTGGATTTGTCCGTCATTCTTTTTGACAGTCCAATGTTCAATGCTTGTCGTTGATGTATTCGTAATTTTGAAGTGAAACATGAATTTTCTGCGGCGCCGGCGCTTTCATTAGTTTTCTGTTAAACTCAATTTAAATTTACAAGCTTAATCTTTGTAATGGAAGCTTATCGAAAGCGGAGATTTAAAAAGTGCGTAGTGCCTGGTTGTATTGATACAATCAGTAAAAGGCATACATTTTCAAAACATGATGCCGTTCTTTTTAACAAATGGTTCGAGCAAGTACGCATTACGGAAAATCGTCACCGCGCCCGCGTTGTGTGCAATTAAGCCACATGGTAGAAAAATTGAGAATGACGCATCACACACCAAACATTTTCACAGTGCCTCACATCTAGGCGCTGACTTGTATTTTCTATTGACATGGCAAAATAAATTTCTATAAAATTTAAATACTGGAAATAAAGAAAACCTTTTTACTTTCATAACTATTCCTGGTTGCAGCATATTTTCTCACCTGTTCCTTCAAAAACCTTTTCCTGTCTCCCTTGTTTCTGAAATTCAGCAAATTCACATATGTAATTTTCAGAATGAATAAGAAAAAGTGGATACGCAACTAACTTCTAACTTTGAATTTCAAGTGAGTGGATTTGATAGAAGAAAAAACCAATGGAGTTATCATCAACACATATTTTATTAACACGCAAATCGTCGCTATGCACCTATGCACTGTCATAGTATACAACTTACAACTTAGACCTCCAATAATGCCGTCTCTGAAGCAGATGTTACGTCACATCAGAGCAAAACATTAATAACTCAAGCAACTTGAGGTTTGGGCAAAGCGTACAACTACAAAACGAGTTAACAAAAAGTCTCCAACAGCTAGTGCTAAGCTAACATCTTGTAGGAAAATCTATGTTACGTCATATTCATGATAAGTAATACCCGAGCTTAGTTAATTTTGAGCTAAATCAATAATGATTAACTCTGCAATGAAGAAAAATAGTGATAATAGACCAGTGTTACTTTATATTTTTTTTATTCCATTTGACCAGTATATAAAGCAATAATAACTGTTTATTTGTTAACGTGACATTCCATCGCCACCTTGGTTTCTTCATCTTATTTAACTATTTGAATACAAAAGTATGAAAAGGAGGTACTATATTTGGTCCGTACAGGGTGAAATGACAGGGGTAGCCTCCGAGGGGGACTGCTCTCAGAACGGGAATGCCCCCACGTATCAGCCCATCTGGTTTCCATAATCAATACTTTCCCCACTTCGGCAGAGAGAAATACACCATTGCGAATCAGCAACGGATGTGGTGACTGACCCTGCAGCGTCAAAAATTCACAATTTTCCTGAGACTGTCAGTGTTACTCCTGCACTGGTGCATCTCGAGATTTGCTTGCTTTGGATTTCCTCATCTGGCAAGAGGCTGGTTCTTGGAGCCCCATCAAACTAGAAACCAAGCAGCTACAGTTATTTGGTGCAGGTGGGAAGCCTTCTGGTGATAAGAGTAACTACATGGAGCAAATTGTAAGGCAGAGCTCGTCTCCGGATAAGTTAAAAGATAGCTCAACTAGCTTTTACAATCGACGCTAACGCCACTCTGGATGATGGCCGATTGTGCATACTCATCAGTGGATGTGATTTAGGAGAATCTACTTGTGAGTTAGCGTGTTGGCGCGTGTGTACAAGATGGTCTTTGTGGCAATGTTTTGATCAGTCAATACCATAAAAGGTGGCTCACCGCTTTGTTAGCCATCACTAGATCTCCCTCCACAATTAGCGTTTAAACAAAAAGTAGTAATACTCCATTTTGGTTTAACTATGCCATAAGAAACATCACACCCTCAAACAGTGTCCACAATATTTTGATCAATTCTAAAGGGTGCGATGCCTTTGTTCACAAACATTTTATTATGTGTCCTCGCTCGACATGATTTGCATATTTCAAAGTCTTTGTCAAATATGAATCGAAACGTACATACCCTCAAAGCAGTCAAACATGTAATCTTGATATTTTGTTAAAATGACCAACTAAGATCACGTTTTTACTGTTAATAATATCTATCAAATGATCAACTGCAATAGGGTCAGGAGGGAGCATACTGATCAGTCCTTGTACTTCCAATTGCTCCAGGGAGGGGTCCGCACCTCCCAATACATGTTTCTGTGGGAGGAGTAAACACAAAAAATATCGGTATCCATGTTGGCAAACGCCGACCCCACAGTAAATATGGTATCCAATCCACCCTTGATTTTCTTTAGCCCACAGCTGAACCTTTTCGCTCAAATAAACATGAAAATCCAGACTGTAACTTTGTCATCCAATTACGAGAGTTGTTGAAAGAGCAGTGGACATTAATCAAGACATTAAACAGAAAAGATTTATACGTGGGAAAATTTTCCCGATTCTCCCTTTTCCCAGAAGATCCTAATTATACTCGAGGAGAAAAATGCTGGAAGCAAATAAAAAGGATTCTATATATTTCTCGGAAGGAGTACCATATTCTAACGTTTGTGGTTCATCAGTTTGATGGAGTGGTGTGTTTTTAATAAAACCAAAAGGCTCTAAAAGTAAATGTAAAGTTTGGGGTTGCCAAAATGATGAGACTGTTATATGCAATAAAGGCTCAGCAGCTAATCCATTGAGATTCAGAGGCGTTTTGTTTACAGGGTGCTCCGATTTTTGAAGACTTGTAACTCAGTGAGATATTTTACAGAAGTGTTATTCATATTTTTATAAAGTGGGTTGAGCAAACCGATAAAACAGTCGTTGTTCCATTCTACCATAGGTGTCGTTCACTAAGCTATCGCAGCTCTCACAGCAATCACAAATTTCACCTATTTAATCGGACATATCTATAAGCTGTGTTTCAATTTGCTCAAGCATCTGTTAGTTCGCAGGAAAAAGGAACTCAAAGATTTTTCGAGAAGACTTATTTTCTAAACAAGAGGAAACGGTGGCGTGGTTCCTTTATCATTTTTTTAATTAATTTATGAACTAATAAATATCTAAATAAAACACTTAGTCGGAACTTGTCTTGCCTAACCACCACACAAAGAAAATAATCTAACAGTAATGATGAAACCTAATTAACTGTATACAGAGAGCCAAATAATACAAGATATTTAAAAAAATCACAATATATTATCAAAACAAGCAGCACATATGCTCCACCTCTAAAGTGCAAGCTAAAAGAGAGGATATTATTCAAAACTGCCAGACAATAAAACTATTAGATCGTTAATATTAACCCTGCAAAACGTTTACCATGGTACACGTACAAAGGCTTTACAAATATGGACTTTACAAATATCTCAACGCCTAAACCTAAACTTATCTGGACAGTGTTCTTATCTCGATAATGGTCTTCTTCAAGTTACAGCTCTAGATACAGTCGAGATGTCCTCAGCTCACAAAAGCTTAGGCCAAAAAAAAACTAGTGGCCAGCAGTGGGCACTGACGTGAGGAACGTCACAAGGTAAGGGCTGCTTGCCTCGTTTTCCAAAATTTACGGTATAAAAAACCCTAGAGAGAGAAAAAATCTACCCTCTACTGTGTATCTGTGACAGAACTACTCATTTAAAACACTCAAAACTTCAAGAAAAATCCATGTACATTCCCTTTCACAAAAAAATAAAGCAGATGCAAAAAAAAATGTATCCCTTGTTCTAAAATAAGTTATGACAGTTCAAAAATCAAATGATCAATGTAATGTAGTAAGCCCAAAAGAAGGTGACAAGTAGGCACTACTCTATATTTGAATACGAAAAATGCCAAACAAAATCAAGTACCTACACTCTAAGAATTCCAGTCAGCAATAACTAATATAATGTCTACAAAATACCGAATTAAAATGATATTTTGCCTGTTCACATCAGGGTTTTTTTACCAAAGGATGGCTTCCATCAAATTTTCCTGCGAAACAGCTACATGGCAGGAGGAGTGTGAATGGTGGTTCTCCGCAACGCCTTTAAACTAAAAGGAAGCAGATATTGAACAAACTTCTTCAGGACATGCATTAATGGACGTGGTCCGATGGTATACAAAAGAGAACTTACCGCTGGAGGTTAAAATCCCATGAAAAAGTGGGCGGGTAGTACTCAAACCAAAACAACTAAACGTAAGGGTACACTCCATCAACTGGTGGTTGGGGCGTTAATATCCCAAAATCTGGAAGCTAACGAAAAAAACGCTCGCACACAACCTAAACCACAGCAGAAAAATGGTGCTATCTACGAGGGACCAACAAAATTTTATGGGGAAATTTCTCAGATAGTCCAAAAAGATTTCAAAACAGTACTGAGTCGCTGAGAAAGAAAGATGTAAATACGTGTGAAATTATACAATCATTAAACTACGAAATTTGCCGAAAGAAAATAATTAAAAAAAGATTTAACCTAGGAATCGGTACTCATTATCAATAAAGAGAAATTCAGATTACTGGTAAGAGATCAGAACAGTAAAAAAAAGGTTACGTGGTTTTGGCACTTTGAGCGTTGTGGTCCTTCGGGTGAAATCGGTCATACTTCAACGAAAAGTCAGATTAAATTACGTCAAGTAGATTGACCCTGTGCTTCCCACACAATGTATCTGAGTCAAGTTTCGTATGCCTTGGTTAAGAGAATCCTTCTAGTTCAACGTAAGGGCCATAGAGTAGAATGAGTACTTGTGAAATGAAAGAGTCAGGCTTAGTTCACGTGACGTGGCGCGAGTTTGTTGGATTGGTGTTCAGATGGCACGCGTATAGAGCCGATCTAAGTTTGTTGTATTTAGTCAACAAGAATGAATCTGTAAGAAGCTATTTGTGGTTGGGTAACATACGGAATAATTAAAAGGTGTCGAAGAAAATACAAGTTTGTTCCTCACACTCTGCCCCAGCCCTCAAAACTATATATTTATTTAACTATTTCAGAATGTCAATAAAATCGTTGAATGATTTGGATTATTGCCTTTTACGTAATCAGTAATAATTGTAGACGAAGGATTGAGAACAAGCCTGCATAATATTTCCATTTTTTCTTGGGAATACCGGATTTTCAAAAAAATGCTGTCATTCCAAGTCGCAGGCTACTTTTCAACTTCAATATTAAAAATATATGTGTTGAATTCTTTCAGTTTTAATTCCAGTGGCTTTACACTAGAAGGCATTTTTATAAAAGACCCACCTCTTATGCCGGCAATTGAAACGTCTAGTATGTCAACAGGCGCGTCAAGTAAATGCGCGTCTCACTCGCAAGCCTTAGTGATTTGGAGAAGCATGAAATTACATAGCTGGAGTCAAGTTCTGTACGCCCTGGGATCTTTAAAATTCGACAGTCACGAAAATCCTTGTACTGGTTGTACTGCTACATAAGGACCGTAGAGTAGAGCTATCATTGAAAAGAGTATTGTTGATTTGGAAACAAAATGGAAATCATGTACTACGAATCAACATACCTGCGAACTGGTATTTCTACTATTAGACCACTATACACATAGATGGGGTGTGATAGAATATAGGTGAAGAAAAGGTATTGTTACTTTGAAAAAGTGACCCAATTAGCAGCAGACAGGTGGTCATCTATTGATTATTCACCACGCGTACAAAGCAATTAACAACTGCCCTAACATTGCAAGCAAGTGTGATTACTCCATCCAGTGGATTATGTCGGGCCTAGCGCAACGGCGGAGTTAAAGAGGGTGGTTGGATCAACCGCTAGTAAAGTAATGGGTTGGTCGCGTGTTGCTGGGAAGCCGCTGTTGCGCAGGATCATCGCTGTTTGGGGAACATGTGTGAGATGACGTCTAATCGAGATCATAGATTTCTTGATAATAAAGTGTGTTTCACTGCTACTGAAGATGACATTCACAACTCCCTAAGTCGTAACCCGTAAGTTTCTAATCCCCAAAAAACTTGAAAATGAGCAAGTGTTTTTGGAACATCGAAAAACAAAGTTTGAATCACTTTCATCTTTTGTAGTTCTTTGTCCGTTATTATGTCACCACTGGACCGATTTTTGAAAACCGTTAGGCTTTTTCGTCCTTGGTATAGTAGTAACCTTCATCAAAACCCGAACGGTACTCTCCAAGTTATAGGGACCACGATTAGCACACATACAGACAAACCAATGGAAATGGGTTTCATCGTTTTTAGTGTCATGTTACATCAAAAAAAGATAAAACATGATTCGATTTGTTTCGTGATTTCAACGCTTCCTTGCCAATTTGCCTGGGAAGTAGAAACTTGTTAAAAAGAACCCTGTTCGTTTGTCTAAGAAACTAGCTGTAGATTAAATGCCTGGAGTAATGGACCTCGTGGACGTTGATTGTCTTTGTTCCACTTCACCACACTGGTGTGCAGTTACGAGATTACGTCGGACATCATAAGGACCTCACTAAGATGCACCCGGGTTAATGTAATCTTCAGAGACATTCTGGAACAATGCACATTATATGCTGCTGTAAATTAGACTGTGTAGTAGCGCTCCGTCCTTGAGGAATTACGACCTAGCAGGCATTAAATGCATGACTGTATAGTTTGTTCTAT